AGCTAACAGCAGCTGACGGCAGCTAACAGCAGCTGACGGCAGCTAACGGCAGCTGACTGCAGCTGACGGCAGCTGACGGCAGCTAACGGCATTCAGAGCAGAAACAGTGTTCAGCACGATGAATGTGACTAAAACTAAAAATAGACAATCTGAAATAAAACCGTCAAAATTAGCAGATTCACATGAGGTTATATTTATCAAACACTAAAATCATGTAATGTCCCTTTTTTAACCATTCCCTAACACATAAATTAAAATTTTAAGAAAGTGCACCTTTAATAATCATGACTGCATATTTATTGTAAATGTATAATTTCCAGGCTGTTTCATCCATTTCCTACTTCAACAAGTTTACATGTTTACTCTAATAATGTCTCCCGTGTCCCTCTTGAATTATTAGTTAGACATACTTTGTGTAAACTGGTGCTTGAGGTAAATATGACTTCATTAATATTCTGTTTTATATACTGTAATGACAAAACTAGGCATAAAAGGTTTTAGACTATTTTAATTTAAAGCTTTGACACATATACACCCAACAGTTTAACATCCTGAAGTTTTAATTATAAATGCTGGATTCCACAGATTTATTATAACTTAGTTATGTTTTTCTTTGAAGATATCAGGAGTCTGGGCTGAGATCATGTAGTGGCCACGTCTGGCCCACGGGTCATATGTTGGCATGTGGTCGAAAAGGTTCTTAATCAGAAACTCAAAGATAACGATGGACAAAACCTTAAACTTAATGCTTTTCATGCAGCAAAACAAACATTATGACGGTTATGGTCATCTTTTCAATCTGGTTGAGTAATAAAACAAACTTTCAATGGGATCTATTAGAAAATGTTAATGTTTATTCATACGGTTTTCTTGACTCACAGACCTGGAAGGTATGAAAACCTAAATCCACAGTTTTCCAGGCAGCGCAGGAACAATGTTGGGAGTTTGTGCGCGACGTGTTTTACCTTCAGCTCCTTGGTGAAGTGGTAGGTGACGATGGCCGTGAAGGAGGAGAACAAGGGAGCGAGGAACACACAGACGTTGCGGATGTCAATAGTGATGTGAAAAAAGTGTAGAACATGATACAGGACAGCGGACGTGACCATCAATCCTAAAGGAGATTAAAAGTTAGCCTGGCTCATATTTTAGCCTCATGATGCGTGTAGACCGATACGCTGCGTAAATACCTGGGTAAATGGTGCCACCTATGATCCTCCCCAGAGGATACCATGCCCGGTCATCAAACCAGTTGTGAAACTTATAAAATCCTTCTTCTGCCAGGAAGCGGGTCGTACGGTAGTTAAAGTACCTGATGGTAAGAAGAAAGTGACGGTGAAAGCAGGCCGAGTGATATTCTGATGGAATAACCATTTCACAAGGACTTACGGGTCAAACTCATGGATGACGCTTTCAAACCTCAACACAGAAAAGAGCCTGGTGGAAAATGCTGAGGAGAAGAAAGAAGATCACCCAGTGAGTTTCTGTTCGCATTAAGGAGACACCGCAGCAGAGCTGGACTCACAGAGGACGGCAGCCATGGACAGGATGAGGAGCTTCAGCAGCGTGTCCTGCTTCTCGTAGGACAGACGCAGGAAGCCCAGTTTGGTCATCTTGGCGAGATTAGGGACAGCTCACCTACTACCTGTCCAGAACAAACACCGATATGAAACAGATAAAGAAGCTGCTGCTGCAAAAACAGGTTGACGAATAGACTCGACTCGTTGATTTGGGGGTTCCTGCGAGGAAAAAGCATAAATTAGGCTTTAAGGGAGGAAAGACAAAGAAATGTGCTCTAGAGCCGCTCGTGTGCAGGTCCATGTTCAGCCCAACCACAGAAGGCCACGCAGTAGATATGACGTCAGGAATCAGGAAGCGTCCAGTGCAGGCATTGAAGCATCTTCTTCAGGTTTGTTGAACAAAGTCTGCTCCACAAAAGCTGAAGCACCAACCCAACGGTGCTCTACTTAGTGCTACATTTTCTGAGCAACACACAACTCTTCCAGACAGGAGCCACTGACTTTTACCAGCTTATTAACTGACTGCAACGAAAGCATAATTATTAAACGCATATTCTGCACAAAAATCACGAATGCAACCCAACAAGGTTCGTCACCATCATGTCGATGCAGCTTTCCTCCAGTTAAAAGTATGAATTAGTATTGAGCTAAGCTAACCTGCTAGCTGCTGTTGACTTAAACCCGTGTTTACGCGCCTTCTTCCTCAGACTTGTTTTTTTAAGCACTTCAAATTCCAGGAAAGGTCTTAAAACAGACACCTCCAGTGTTAAATATTATAGCATTTTAACGTTTAATGTTTACTGACACTTACCCGCTTCGTTCCTGCTTCTCATACACTCACGCTACCCTTCACCGTAACGTAGTCCCGCCCCCTTTACCGCTTCTGGGCTCGTTTATTGGTTGAAAGTCAGAAGACGGAAACCTCTCCGATACTTGATTGGTGGTTTGACTGTCAATCAAATTCTGTTCCCTGCCTCGACGTTGCTCTGTAGTGACGTGTCCTTAACAGTCGCTGAGCGTGTCGCCCCCTACCGGTGGAAAATATTATTGCTCAAGGATCAAACTTCAAAGTTCATTCATTCAACCTTCATTTATGTTTTTTCATTCAACCTTCATTTATGTTTTTTCATTCAACCTTTATTTATGTTTTTTCATTCAACCTTAATTTACGTTTTTTCATTCAACCTTTATTTATGTTTTTTCATTCAACCTTTATTTATTCAGGTAAATCCCATTGACCTCGGGGACTCATTTACAAGACAGACCTGAATTTTAACAAAAAGTGATGACAACAATGGACAATAACGACAACAATAGACAATCATAAAATAAAGGATGCGTACAGATTATTATTATTTTTTAACAGATGAAAATAAAAGGATAATTATAAGAAATAGCAAAAAAACCCAGCTAGATTGTAAGGCGGCGTAGAATACTACAAAGTAAAAACAGTAAAGTAGATGGTGTTTTAAATCATGCAGATTAAGCTGCCATTTTCAAAAGTGTTATACTTTGCATTTAAAGCTAAAACAAAAACATTTCTTTTGAACAAAAATGTAATGTCACTTGTTTAAAAAAGAAATCTCTTTCGGTTGCTCCTTTCCTCGGGGGTCGCTACAGTGAACCAACTCGCTCAAAGACAAATTGTTTTTAGGCCGGCTGTTCTTCCTGATGCAACCATCACGGAGCTACCGCAGCCTCTGAGTGGAGCAGAGAGCTCATATCTAGGGCCCCCGGGGGAGCAGATGGTGGGGGTCAAGGGCCCAGAGTGGAGCAAATAAGGGTGGAGACAGGTGTGGGTGATTCACTTTTCCCACCCACATTTTAATGTTGTTGGGGAGTCAAACCAGTGACCTTCTGATCACAGGCCCGTCTTTAACTTCTGCGTCACCACTCCCCCACTTGGTTTTCTTTTTTTTTTTTTTTCAAAGATGGGCATTTAATCATTACAGTGAAATATATCGTGATAAGAGGAAAAAGCTATAGCCTACTGTATAGAGAAATATTTACATTAATCACTTCCTCTTGGCAATATTGTCAATCTATTCCTTATTATTATTATTATTATTATTATTATTATTATTCCACATCCAGGCAAGTCTGCAGGTCCAGATGGATGAAGCCCCAAACTCCTGAAAGGACGTGCAGCTCAGCTGTGGGATGATTTTCGGTACATTTTCCACCTGAGCCTGAGGGTGGTCCCTGCGCTGTGGAAAACAACATGCCTGCTACTGGTCCTGAAAAACAACCAGCTGAACTCACACAGTGACAACAGACCTGTGGCCTTGACATCACATGCCATGAAGTCACTGGAGGCTGGTCCTGAAGCACGTCAGATCAGTGGTGGAACCATACCTGGACCCCTACTGTTCGCATACCAGCCACGCATTGAGTTGATGACGCCATCATCTACCTGCTGCACAGAGCCTGCACGCACCTGCACAGGCCAGGCAGCACTGGAAGAGTCATGTTCTTTGACTTCTCCAGTGCTTTTAACACCATCAGACCTGCTCTACTCTGCAGTAGCTCCGGCACATGCAGGTGAATGACTCGCTGGTCACCTGGATCAGAGACTACCTCACAGGTCGGCCACAGTATGTGAGGCTGCAGAACACCACCTCAGACACCATACTGAGCAGCACAGGTGCTCCTCGGGGGACAGTCCTCTCACCGTTTCTGTTCACCCTCTACACCTCAGACTTCAGGTACAACTCACAATCCTGTCATCTGCAGAAGTTCTGGATGACTCTGCCATTGTGGGCTGCACCACTGGTGACCAGGAAGCTGAACACAGAGGTGTGGTGGACAGAACCACCTGCAACTCAATGTTGGACGATCTAGAGCTGCAGGTGGACTACAAGATCAAGGGTACTAAGGTGGACACTGTGGACCTGGGGGTCCACCTAGACAATAAACTGGACTGGACAGCTAACACCAACGCCCTCAACAAGAAAGGGAAGAGTTGCTTTTTACTTCTGAGGAAACTCAGGTCCTTCAACGTCTGCAGGACCATGCTGCAGATGTTCACTTGATTGTCTCCAGCGTCTTCTAAGCTGTGGTGTTCTGAGGCAGCAGGGTGAAGAAAGCTGATGCCAACAGACTCGATAAACTCATCAAGAGAGCTGGTTCAGTTCTGGGAGTGGACCTGCAGTCTCTGACAGAGGTGTCTGAGCAGAGGATGCTGAGGAACCTGCTCCAGATCCTGAACAACACGTCTCACCCCCCTGCAGGACACCCTGGACTCTTACTGCAGCACCTTCAGTCGTGGACTGAGACACCGAGGTGCTCCACAGAACAACACAGGAAGTCCTTCAAGCTTTTCAACTTCTCCCCCTTTTCTACACAAAGGACAGTAAATTAATCCTGAACTACAATAAACACTTTAATGTTTCTGTCTGCACCTGTTAATAACTTAATTGTTATTTTTATATTGTTATTTTTGTATCTTGTGTTTGTTCCTTTGTGCTGAAACTCTGGCACAACAATTTCCTGCAGGATCAATAAAGTTGCATCTTCTTATCCTTTGGTATTACTGAGCCATCACCTTGTTAGCTGAATGTTTCTGTATAAGCAGCACACAAAAATAAAACTATCCAACCAACAAAACTACTGATATTTTAGAAAACTGATTAAAAAAACAGATCAAACTTTGAATACTGATCATTTTTATTGAAATTAGATGCATTACTTTTACAAAAACCTCACAACCACCAGTCTGCACAAAGCGCACAGTTCCACATCACTGCTCTTACCCACAACCACCAGCTCTGATGAGGAACCAGGTGAGGACAGGGCTGCAGGTGAGAGGTGTCGACATGACGTACAGGACAAAAATCCAACAATCAATCAATCTTTAGGGATTGGACACATTTGCATCAGCTCACTAGGAGGGAAGAGGACCACGGTGAACCTTTGTTAAGATTTAAAGGCATTAACTAGAGGACGTGTTGCAGTGGTCAAAGAGAAACAAAACTAAATGCAGTGGTTTGGCAGTGTCTTATTACATACATACACAAACCGTCACAATCTGCTGTGCAACTTTGCCGTGGCTGGTGTCACCCCAACAACTACATCATCAGACAGTGGGGACAAACTGGGATTTGGGACAACACTTCTGTCAACATACAAAGTGACTTTTATTTGGTTTCCTTCACAAAAAGTAACCAGTTCCTTTTGTAGCAGCTCCTGAAACGACAAGAAATCACACTGGAAACTGAATGAGCTCCATCAAAATAATAAGAACAAGTCCGCTTGTGAAACTGATCGGACACCAGCAGGCATGTGCAAGAAAGCCTCGTGTCTGCGAGGAAAGACCGTCGGCTGCAACAGAGAAAATGCACGTGGAAGAGAAAACGCACCGAGTTGAGCGTTTGGGATTAAAAGAGCTCCTTTCTAAAGAAAATCAGTTCTTTAGTCATTGGTGCGTAAGCATTAAAACCATGGGATCGCCCGTGTTGTAATGTATTAAAGTCATTCCAATGGCACAGAAAACACTCACAGTGAAAGAAAATACCAAAAGCTTAGAGCTTTGTTTGGGAAAAAGAGTTTCATTGTTACATGTAAAGAATGAGTGACTGGAGCTGGACATGAAAAAGCAAAGGAGCAGAAAAAGGAAACCAAGACGTAAACCCTTCGTTCATCATTGCACATCACTGTCAGTAAGGGCAATCCTTCTGGAAGAAGGACTTTTTGTACATCTGTTGAAGCCACACATTGGTTGAGATCTTCTCCACTTGACGTGGATCCATCAGCATCAGCGCGTTGGCGACAGTCTCTGGCGGTTTGGGGACGTTTGGGGTGAGGACAGCTTCTCCGATGAGGCCGATGACGTCAGAGAGGACTGCAGGTGGACCGTCTTGTGGAACAGCTTGTTGCTGATCAGCACAACCAGAGAGAAGAGACGTAGCTGGAAGTGGCTGGGAGGACACACACATCATCACTGACACACACTCGTGCAAACCAGTTGATGCACACAGCTTCTGAACTACCGCCTCACATTTTTACATTTTGCTCCCAATGACCTGGACCTTCGTGCACTCGAACAAAAGGTAAAAGCTGGCATTTCTGTTAGCAAAATATCTCAGGAACCACTGAATGCATTTTTAATGAAACTTGCAGAAAATGATGAACGTCTACAAATGATTAACATTTGGAGCCAGTCGAATTCAAGATGGCTTCCGCAGCCAACTGGCTGCTGGAAACATCCAATCAGACATATCTCAGTCAAATTTACAGATACTGAGCGTAACGTTGGAGTGGTAGTAGCTGAGAATCATGCACAGCACACACACTGAGCATCACATCTCACAATATCATGAGATAAATTAAAAAGTTCAAAATTCATTAATTAAAGTCTTAACTGGAGTTACTGGGAGAGATCGTATCTCTCCAGTTTTAGCTTCTCTCCATTGGCTCCCTGTCAAATCCAGAATAGAATTCAAAATCTTACTTCTAACCTACAAAGCTCTCAACAACCTAGCTCCATCTTATAGTTGAGATCTTGTTATTCCATATTTTCCTAACAGAGCACTTCACGCTCAGACTGCAGGTTTACTTGTGGTTCCTAGAGTTTCCAGAAGCAGAATAGGAGGAAGATCTTCCAGTTCTCAGGCTCCTCTCTTGTGGAACCAACTGGGATTAAGACGTTCCTTTTTTGATAAATCCTATAGTTAGGGTCGGCTTGTCATGCTGTCTTAAGCTTAAACTACTAGAGGACAAACTGACCTCATTCCCTACCACTACAACTCTGTTGTTAGCAGACTGAGTCACTGAACTACTCAGCTCTACTTTCAGTTGTAGAATCTACAATAAATCTCCAATACCGGCATTTCACTGACGTAAAATTGTATTTTTGAACCAGCAAAGTGATTCTTAAGAAATATCCTGATTCATGCTCAATAATCCAGGTAGAAAAATCGGACTAAGTTAAGTCACGTCCTCTGGATGGTTTCTTTTTGTTGAAACATTTTGTCTTTCATCCACAAGACTTCATCAGTCCGAGGAACTGCAACAAACTCAGTTTTATAAATAGCACCTTCACATTCATTCAACCTTTATTTAAACAGATAAATCACACTGAGCCTAAAAGGCTCATTTACAAGTGAGACCTGTTTGGACAAACAAAAAAGTGGTGAACTGGACACATGTAGGAGTTGGAGGCGAAAAAATTCCTATCAGACTTTTTTTTTCCTGCCTGAGGAAAAAAACAAAAACCTCTAATATTAAAAAAAACACCTCGCTCAAATAGACATAGACATTCTGCAGAGGGGGGAGCCGAGAGCAGTCAGCATGTTCGTGGATGCTCTCGAGGTCACTGTAAGAGTTCTGATAAGGATGGAATAATCAGTCAATGTCCTCCGGTGAGATCCATAAACATTCTCGAGGTATGTCGAGGAATGGCCAAGAATAACGTCTATGAGAATCCAAGAGTCCTGAAATGATGACACAATGTTTATTCAGCTGGTTCATCTGGTTATCAGTTGGAAATTCCTCAGGAAGGGGTGGTGAGCATCATGTTCTCCAGGCGAATTCAGAAAAGATGACCTTCAAGATCAGCCAAGGGAGCCAAATTCAGATAAACACACAGTTGTTTTGGGGACAGGCAGAACTTAATGACATCTACGTTGAGTCTGTGTTGGTCCACTCGGTTCCGAAATATCCAAACTACATGGCCACACAGAAAGAACGTGCGTGCCTGAGTAAAATCTCCAAGATCTGATCCATTCAGCCCAAAGCATTTGAGTCTGGGCACTCGAGGCACGAACCAAGCCATCATAAAAGCAAGCAGCGTGATCGGGTCCAAATTTGCTGCAGACGACTTCCTTGATTGTTGATAAAACCAGCAACCAGCCGAATCCAAAAAGCAGGAACCAGTTATCATTAATCCAATTAAATATGTGTCCTTAAAATCCACAGATGGCAGCAGAGATAGACACATCATCAAGTCCTCAAGTCGATGAGATATCCAGCTGCGTGACAACAGGGCAAATCAGCTCGCCTAAAGCCTGTCTTCTCTTTGAAGAAATGTTGTAAATTGAGTTGAGGGACCAACTGGTCAAAACAAATCCATAATTATGGCTAACAAACTACTAGCATGATGTAGTCCACATGTTTTAAACCTCTTTTTTGTTCTATTCTTCATATATTTGAAAATAGCAGGAAATCTTATAAAACTAGACATTTTCTTTGTTGGTAATAATTTAAATAAAATTCAGTTTTATTTTAGTTTTGGTCAAAGCCTGAAAGAGCTGCTGCAGAGGGACCAGAGAGCTACATGTGGCCCCAGAGCTGCAGGTTGCAGACCCCTGACATAGTGGGTCGACCAGTTTGATGGTGCTCAGATGGTTTCTGGAGTCCGCCCTCTCCCCCACCAACTTGTTTGAGGCAGTCATGGAACCACTTTGGCCATGACTGCCTCAAACAAGTTGGAGAGGGAGGACTTCAGAAACCATTTTAGCACCATCAAACTGGTCGACCCACTATGTTTCCACCACTTGCTCTTGCTGAGATCAGGTGCTTCTCCCCTCCCTCTCCGCTTTGCTGCTCTGTCTGTCTGTGAAACTGCTGTGAGCCTCTCTTGCATTTCTTCCGAACCACTTTAAGTGGACTTCCAGTCTCAGAGTGATCTGTCTCGAAACCACCAGAATGTTTTGGAATATCTTTGACAAGTTGCTGAGACGTAGTAGTAACTTTGATAATACTAAGAATAAAATACAAAAAAAACCAAAGCCAAAGTAAACAAAATTATTTATTTTTCATTTAAAAATGTAACTGGATATCCAACAAACTGGTCTAATTTTATACTGTCTTTAACTTTATCCTTTAAGTAGGACACTTAATTACTCAACAATTAAGAAAACTCACAGAGTTCAGTGTTTAATTTTTTATTAAATTAAATTTATTTTTTAGATAGGCACAGGTAGGCGGATAGGTGCAGCGTCTGCAGTGAAGCGGGAGCTGTACTGGTCTGTCGTGGTGAAGAGAGAGCTGAGTCAAAAGGTGAAGCTCTCAATTTACCGATCGATCTACGTTCCTACCCTCATCTATGGTCACGAGCTTTGGGTTGTGACCGAAAGAATGAGATCTCGGATACAAGCGGCCGAAACGAGTTTTCTCCGCAGGGTGTCGGGCTCTCCCTTAGAGACAGGGTGAGAAGCTCGGTCATCCAGGAGGGACTCGGAGTAGAGCCGCTGCTTCTCCACGTCGAGAGGAGCCAGTTGAGGTGGCTCGGGCATCTGGTTAGGATGCCTCCTGGACGCCTCCCTGGTGAGGTGTTCCGGACACGTCCCACCAGGAGGAGGCCCAGAGGAAGACCCAGGACACGCTGGAGGGACTATGTTTCTCAGCTGGCCTGGGAACGCCTTGGGATTCCCCCGGAAGAGCTGGACCAAGTGGCTGGGGAGAGGGAAGTCTGGGCCTCCCTACTTAGGCTGCTACCCCCGCGACCCGACCCCGGATAAGTGGAAGAAAATGGATGGATGGAAAAATTTTTTTTTTTAAATTCCTTCTTTACATGAATCTGGTCTTTTCTTTTGTATTAAAATATAAAAATATAAATAAATGTTAATAACAGTCAGACATTTTTCATTTTATAATATCACCCCCACTGGCTGGAAAAGCCATCTCCAACAACCTTGTAGTGGTCCACGGGCCACCAGTTGACAGTTGCAGCAGGTTCTGCAGCGTCGGACATCGTGATTAGTAAACAAAGCAGCAAAAATGGCTCTTTTTATCACAAAGGTTGCAGACCCCTGCACTATGTGATGGTGTTACTGTGACTCCTCGGACTGATGAAGACTTTTGGATGAAAGTTGAAACGTGTCCGGAGCACCTGATTCCCAACAAGTTACTATAAAACCACATCATTCTGCATGATGTGCAGAATATCTTTCTTTTTAAATAAGAAAACTAAACTAAATAGGTAGAAGACAAAAAATACAGCAGGCCTAAAAAACTGTCTACAGAAGACGCAGAGATAAAACTAAAAGATTAACTATTTGTCAAGTTGTCTCTTTTATCTTTAGACTTTAGGTTCTTTTTCTACAGCTGACAGATTATAGGTCAGCTTCAAGCAGATTATAAATAACATTCATCTGAAAACCATCAGGGCTGCACTGAAAATAAGTCCAAATGACAAATGTTGAAATGCTCAGAAAGCCTGGAGACATCCTGGAGACATACTGGAGACATACTGGAGACATCCTGGAGACATACTGGAGACATACTGGAGACATACTAATCAATAAGTATAAAATGTCTTGAGTCGTGGAAGCAGAACTGAGTGAAGTGACAGCTGGGTCACCACTTCAGGGTAATCCTGCGTGTCGTTTATTTTAAAGCAGTTGTTTTGGAGCAGTACTCACTACAGCTTTGTTGGTGTCTTTGCTTCATTGGCGCTGATGATGAACAAAGGAAACAGGATGGAGAACAAGCAGCCACTGTGAGAACCAACAGATAAAATACAAGGAAGTCAGAGGACGTACAACTCAGTAATCTAAGTTTAAAGTAAAAACGCAGAGTGGTAACGAACCTGATGATGTATGAAGAGGGCATGGCAGTCAGCAGAGCCATGGGTAAACCAAAACCAAAGTAATATGGCCAGTTCCTCTCAATGTTGGACAGACGTTGATGCATCTCGATGCCTTAAACACAAAGATACCCTTTAGTGTTGGAGTTCAACCGACGTGACGAGTGGAAAGTGACAACTCATCTCACCGTGGTTGAACCAGCGATACTCAAAGCAGTAGAGGGAGTAGAGCAGAGACATGTGGAGGAGGCTAACCATCTGTCCGATGGCATCGATGGGAAAAAGACTAACTATCATACCCTGGAGGACCACAAAGGAGACACAGTTCATGTCGCCGTGAATGTTCAGAGATGTGCATTTACATTGTGTTTTGACCAAAACAATGCCGTTTCTCTATTAATTTATTATAAATAATCATAAAAACAACTGGTGCATGACACAGTTCTACTTGTTTCAGTCACTTTCAAACACTGGGAGCAGCTTCACAGTAGTGTTGCATTGGAAACACCCTGAACAGATTTCCAGTGTCCTTCCATAAAATGAAAGAACAGGAATGTTGTCTGTAAACAGGTGGAATGAGAAATGAAATACCTGAATGAGGAAGAGCGCCTGGAGGAGGAGGTTAAAGAGCATGTCTGCAATGATCTTACTGATGCTGGGGAACGGCTGAGCTTTGCAGCCAGACACTTCAAACGCAAGGTCGGCGATATCCTGCAACACAGACACAGCCGATGCCATCAAATGAAACACACAAGTCTTCACGTCAGAACATTTCTGAGAGTTACAAACACATTTTGATCAGCTCGCAGAGCCCTTTCAACAAACCTGTGGTTTTAAAATTAACATTGTTCCTTTAGTTATAATCATATTAAAAAATCTTGTAATGCTATAATCAAAGGCAAAACAGGCGATTAGCATGAACCCTGTTTGTGGTTTAAAAAGCTCATGACCTACTGGACTGATTATTTTTTGAAACTCAAGTAATGTTCATCTATGATGAACTTTTAGAGATGACCCAGTTCAAGATGGCTACCACAGCTAACAGATATTAGCCAAAGCATTAATGGCTACGACTCAGTAAATTGTACAGATGCTGTTCTGCTGCACAGAGGCTCCGGTGTCCCACTGCAACAAGACCACCGTGCTGGACCTGGACACGCACGTGGTGACCACGGTGGACAACGGCTTCCTGCACCTGGACTGCTGCTGCGCACCCAGGCCGGACCAGAACCCAGACCCAGCGGCTCAAAAACAGAAGGGGGACTTCAGCTGTTCAGAGAAGGTCTCGGACTTTACGGGGTCCAGAAAGCAGCTCAAACGGGAGGACTGTCCCCAGCCGAACCCGGACAACACGGACACGTCAAACATCTCCAACCTGATCTCCATCTTCGGGTCCAGGTTCTCGGGTCTGCTGAGCCAGCAGGAAAACCTGGAGCAGACCTGCAACAAGCAGGCTCTGGCCAGTCTGGGAGCCTGGACCCGGGCCATCATGGCCTTAGAGGGAGACCAGACTCAGGATCCTGGAGCTTTGGTAAGGAGCTGATCCAGTGTTCCAGGGCCAGAACAGAACCCACATTGTTCCACCTGGATCTGAGGTTCGACCAACGATCGGACTCGCTTCTCCAGTACCCCTGAATAGACCTTACCAGGGAGGCTGAGGAGAGTAATGCCCCTATAATTGGAACACACCCTCTGGTCCCCCTTTTTAAAGATGGGAACCACCACACCAGTCTGCCAATCCAGTGGCACTGCCCCCTATGTCCACACGATGTTGCAAAGGCGTGTCAGCCAAGACAGCCCCACAACATCCACAGCCTTAAAGAAATCAGGGTGAATCTCATCCACTCCCGGAGCCCTGCCGCCTCTGAGCTTTTTAACTTCCTCGGCGACCTCAGCCATCACTGGGGTCCTTGAGGGATCATGGGAGTTCGCCCATCTAGTCTACATGTGTTTTGTGAACTTAAAAAAGGCATTCGACAGTGTTCCTCGGGGTACACACGGGGTGCTCCGTGAGTATGGGATTGGAGGCCTGTTGTTACGGGCTGTTCAGTCCCTATACAAGCAGTGCGAGAGTTTGGTTCGCATTGCCGGCAGTAAGTTGGACCCCTTCAGGGTGGGAGTTGGATTCCGCTAGGGCTGCCCGTTGTCACCGATTCTGTTCATAACTTTTATGGACAGAATTTCTCGGTGCAGCCAGCTGGCAGAGGGTTTCCGGTTCGGTAGCTTCAGGATTCCATCTCTGCTCTTTGCAGATGATGTGGTCCTGTTGGCGTCATCGTGCCGTGATCTTCAGCTCTCACTGGAGCGGTTCGCAGCCGAGTGTGAAGCGGGTGGGATGAGAATCGGCAGCTCCACATCTGAGGCCATGGTCCTCAACCGGAAAAGGATGGATTGTTGTCTTCAGGTCAAGGGTGAGGTTCTGCCTCAAGTGGAGGAGATCAAGTATCTTGGGGTTTTGTTCACGAGATAGGGTGAGAATTTCAGTTATCTGGGAGAGACTCGGAGTAAAACTGCTACTCCTCCACGTCAAGAGGAGCCAGTTGAGGTGGTTCGGGCATCCCTGGGCACCTCCCTAGAGAGGTGCTTCGGGCATGTCCAACTGGGAGGAGACCCCGGGGAAGACCCAGGACACACTGGAGAGACTGTCTCTTGGTTGGCCTGGGAACGCCTTGGAATCCTCCCAGAAGAGCTGGAAGAGGCTGTGGAAAGAGATGTCTGGGCCTCCCTGCTCAAGCTGCTGCCCCCGCGACCTGACTTCGGAATAAGTGGAAGATGATGGATGGATGGATGGATGATGACAACACCGTGTTCTGATGCTGAAGTACAGGCGTTTTTTGTGTTTGGTGGCCAACGACATTTTGTTTTATGTTGTTTTTTGTGTGTTCTGAAAAAAGAATAGTAACAAAAGACTTTGATTAAATAGAGTGACTGATTACAAGACTGAAGACACCTGAGAAGCTGATTACAGGACAAACCTTAGGTTAAAATGTCCCTACGGTCAGATTATTTTAACCTTTACTAAGGGTAAAAAATAAGGGTTCTTAAAAAAAGTTTACAAAACTGGACTTTTAATCTGTAGCTGGTGTTCCCTCCAGGGAACTTCATTAATTGAAAACAGGACACTGTGGAGATCAACTTTAAACTGCACAAGGTGCAAATTTAATCTGCACCTGAATTTAGCTGCGCAACAAAGCAGCTTGTGCATTCTTAAGCTTGGAACTCCGCACCATCTAGTTTAGAACTGAAAAAGTGAATGATAAGTGAAACATCTTCAACTACACAAGTCCACTTGGTTTGTTTCTGTTCTTTTCCAGGGGTACCATCCTTTTTGTCAAGGCCAGTTTCATTAATTCATTTAGTAAATAACCAAAATTCACAAGCAACAAATGATTTTTATTAATGGAGTTTCAGTAAGCTTTTTATTAATTTTTTTAACTTTTACCAGTTTCAAGTAATTTCTGTAACTTTCCTGGGTTTGTCTTACTTTATCGAAAGGCTACAAACAAATTTGTCCATGATCGTATGTAACCAGAACGCCTCATGAATGATTCACGTATAGGAATGCACGATATATACGATACATGGTAGAAACAATAGACGTTTAGCCTTTGGTAGAGATCTGTATTCTACCGGCTAACCACAGTAATGCTGTGTCTGATGTAAAATCAGAGTTGTCAGATTTAATCGTTACTTTTTTTTAGTTAAAAACTGCGTGAGTGGTGTTAAAGTCTTTTATTTGAGAGCTAAGTAGCGAAGCTACAAGCTAATTACTGCCGACTTGTCGTAGTGTTGCCGTATTCTGACACATGCGCAAAACGCTGTTATGTCGAAAGTTTTTCTCATCGAAAGTTAAAGTAAGCGTTGGTCATCTTTAGAGAAACCTGCTCTCTGAGCTGTGAGAAGAACGCTGTGTTGTGTGATTTTACTGCGAGACCCTCTGGTCAAAGCCACAGAGGAAACTGGTCGCCATTTTGTGTCAACTCTCCTTAAAGCGGAAGGAGGCGCCCACTAGAGGGTTGGAGGGTGAAGTGTTTCAGAGTAAAATGCTGCTCTGTTGCTGTTCATTTGTTAAGTGAGAAGACTGGAAACTGTTAAGAGTTAATAACATATTATTTTGTTTAAAACATATGGCTAAAACTACATTTGATATCTTTTGCACTACAAGAAATAAGTCTAATATTTTTGTTTATTATTTAAAAACTCTCTGGACCTAGTAGTGGAATTTTCTTAATTCAAAATAAATTATGGCAAAATGACACCCTATGATTTATTTTCATTCCTATTGCAAGTTTTATACCAAAAACATATCGTGATATATATCGTTATCGCCACCCTTCACAGTACTTATCGTGATATGAGTTTTATGCCATATCGCACATCCCTATTCACGTATATACGTCACAAGACTTGGCGTTTTACAAAACGTACTTAATTTCTTCTCGTTTGGACCCACATAAAAGGCATTTCTGCACATAACAGAAATAAAAATCAGTGTGACAGCAGCTTTACATTGTGCACTTGAACGCAACATTGACGCGGGATCGAACCTGGAACCAGATGGTGTTGACGATCTTGCTGAGGACGAACAGGGGAAGAACCCAGAGAGCGCTGAAGACGGAGGTGAGGAGGAATTCCAGCCAGGACCACACAGTGCCATGGAGGGAGGGGTCACCTGGAGTCAAACAGACTCGCTGACTGACCGGTTGGTACTAATGCCAGACAATTAGCCCCAGAGCTACTGGCAGCCATGCTTACCAATGATTTTTGCTGTGAGCGTCTGCAGCAATGGGATGAAGACCCGATAGAAGAGAAACAGACTGAGCTGGAGAGACAATAAACAAATGGTGTAAAATAAGAGACCGAACTCTCGAACCATCAGGAATGTTCTGAGCTGAAACTTACCCAGAAAACTCCTCCATTCCAGGCACAGCACTGAAAAATCCTGCTGGCTACTTTTGACTCACTGAAAGACACAACAAGACAAGTTAGAGCTAAACATTCAAAGAGAGGTTTGACTTTATGTGTTTGTCTGATGCTGCTGACGTGTTTCTGTTCGCACACTGGAAGGAGTTAACTCCGATTTCTAGGTGCCACCGTTCAAAGCAGCCTTTACAAATGCCCAATATTTCACAAACACAGCAAGGTTTTCAAATGTGCACAGAAATAAGCCGCCAGTCCCTCAGTCAATATTGAAACCAGTCCAGCAGGGGTTTAAAGCACCAGAGCTGCTGGTCAGAATGGTGACATGAGCTGGAGTTAGTGGTGCTCACACTGTAGTGATGGGAAATTATAAAATAATTATATATAATTACTTGGATATTTGACGTTCATGGTGTATTTATTTTACCAACCAGGTGTTGGGTAACCATGAGCTCTAAATATGGTCACTTTTTGCTCTTATACGTTCAAAATGGTGTAGAAGTATTGATGCCAGGAGGTTAGAATTTAGAAAAAAATACATTTGAGATTTATTTATTATACTACATTAAACAATTAAAAGAACGTCCTTAAAACAGTGGTGATCACGTCATTTTTGGTTATAATGGTATAAAAAATAATCTGAACTTTTTTCATATTTATTGAATTTTTTATGTTTTGGATGCATCAGCTACGGCAAAGGGAAAAAACAGTAAAAGACTAAAAAAATCTGTAAATATTTAAGCTACACTTGATGAAAATGCTTTAAAATTATACGTTTTGCTTATAATAACTTAGTTTTTATTGTTTTAGTTAAACAAAATAACTTAAGAAATAGCAAGAACAAATTGCAGCCAAAGGCAGAAGTTTTTGCTTGTGTCCAAGTTTGTGTTTGTATATTAGCAAAACATCTTGTGAACCAGGGGACAAATTTTAAAGCAACTCTGAAATTAACCATCAAATGAACATGTAAAGCTGATCATCTTCTGGAGCCAACCACAACCAAGATGGAGGCTACGGCCAACTGACAGTAAAAAACAAAAATGGCTCCAACTCAGCTCATTTTACAAATATTAAGCTACAATGATGAGTGACAGTACCTGACGATGACCCCAACACACTTTTGATCACTTTAAGCTCAGTATTGTAACAGTATACTGTTTTGAAAACTTTGCCATGGACTGTTTGAGTCAACAATGTTAGCAAAATATCTCATTAACCACTGGACTGATTCCCGATTAAAACTTAAAAAGTAGAGTCTGAATGTACCTCCAGTCAACTCTATTCAACATGGTCACCTCAGCTGCCTTAAAAATAAACATAAAACTGTTTATAATTCAATGTTTGTGTCTGTCCAAACAGGTCTCACTTGTAAATGAGTCTTTGAGGCTCAATGTGACTTATCTGTTTAAATAAAGGTTGAATGAATCAGTTTCACAGATATTAGGCTGCAGTTTAGTGTGGTAACAGCTGAGCATCACCCCCAACACAAACGCCCAACTCTACACACTGGATATTATTTTTGAGCTAAACTTTAGTCAAAACTATTTATCTGTGAGATAAATATTTAATTAAACAATGGATAGAGTCAGCCCAGTTCGAGATGGCTGCAACAGTAACAAAAATAAAATAAAAGCAAAAACTCAGTCTTGCAGCTAAATTTTAAATTTTAAGCTAAATTTGGTGTGGTACTAAAAGACTCGTTTCTTATCAGAGGATGAAACGCTAGTTCTGTTCTAATGCTGGAGTCAGTCTCCACCGTCACAGACATCTACACCTCCAGATGCAGGAAGAGGGCCACCTGCATCATGAAGGACCACACTCACCCAGCACACACACTTTTTGCCCCACTCCCCTCAGGAAGGAGGTTGAGGAGCATTAAGTGTAGAACCACTAGACTGAGGAACAGCTTCTACCCTGAGGCTGTTAGACTCATGAATCTCTAACTAGAATAATCACTGTGAAAAACCATATCATGTTGCTGCTGATCTGTTTTATGTTGCTGCTGATCTGTTTCATGTTGCTGCTGATCTGTTTCATGTTGATGTGTTCATGCGTGCTCATCCGCTCACACAGACTCATGTTCATGTTTGTGCTGATGTTCGACGTAATGTTTTTATACTATTAGTGCTGAGTGTATTTTTAGTTGTTTTTCTTAGTTCATATCTTAGATGTTATCACTGTTTTTCTTTTACATTTTATTGTTGGATGTAACTGGGACCCTGTGGACATAATTTCGCTCCACCACATGTACCACATGAGGTGCGAATGACAATAAAGAAACTCCGACTCTTTACTGTATTGAGGAGCTACAGTACTTTGTGAAAGTATTCAGCCCCTTGAACTTTTCAACCTTTTGCCACATTTCAGGCTTCAAACATAAAGATATAAAATTTTAATTTTTTGTGAAGAATCAACAACAAGTGGGACACAATTGTAAAGTGGAATGAAATTTATTGGATGTGTCAAACTTTTTTAACAAATAAAAAACTGAAAAGTGGGGCGTGCACTATTATTGGGCCCCCTTGCGTTAATACTTTGTAGCTCCGCCTCTTGCTGCAGTTCCAGCTGCAGTTCCAGCTGCAGTTCCAGCTGCAAGTCTCTTGGGGTTTGTCTCCATCAGTTTTGAACATGGAGACACTGAAGTTCTGCCCATTCTTCCTGCAGAACAGCTGGAGCTCAGTGAGGTTGGATGGAGAGCGTTTGTGAACAGCAGTCTTCAGCTCTTTCCACAGATTCTGGATTGGATTCAGGTCTGGACTTTGACTTGGCCATTCCAACACCTGGATACGTTTATTTGTGAACCATTCCATTGTAGATGTGTCTTTATGTTTTGGATCATTGTCTTGTTGGAAGATAAATCTCCGTCCCAGTCTCAGGTCTCTTGCAGACTCAAACAGGTTTTCTTCCAGAATGGTCCTGTATTTGGCCCCATCCATCTTCCCATCAATTCTGACCATCTTCCCTGTCCCTGCTGATGAAAAGCAGGCCCAAACCATGATGCTGCCACCACCATGTTTGACAGTGGGGATGGTGTGTTCAGGGTGATGAGCTGTGTTGCTTTTACTCCAAACATATTGTTTTGCATTGTGTCCAAACAGTTGGATTCTGGTTTCATGTGACCAGAGCACCTTCTTCCACATGTTTGGTGTCTCCCAGGTGACAAACTTTAAACAACACTTTTTATGGAGATCTTGGAGAAATGGCTTTCTTCTTGCCACTCTTCCATAAAGGCCAGATTTGTGCAGTGTACGACTGATTGTTGTCCTATGGACAGACTCTCCCACCTCAGCTGTAGATCTCTGCAGTTCATCCAGAGTGATCATGGGCCTCTTGGCTGCATCTCTGATCAGTCTTCTCCTTGTTCCAGATGAAAGTTTAGAGGGACGGCCGGGTCTTGGTAGATTTGCAGTGGTCTCATACTCCTTCCATTTCAATAGGATTGCTTGCAGTGCTCCTTGGGATGTTTAAAGCTTGGGAAATCTTTTTGTATCCAAATCCGACTTTAAACTTCTCCACAACAGTATCTCGGACCTGCCTGCTGTGTTCCTTGGTCTTCATGATGCTCTCTGTGCTTTGAACAGAACCCTGAGACTATCACAGAGCAGGTGCATTTATACGGAGACTTGATTACACACAGGTGGATTCTATTGATCATCATCAGTCATTTGGGACAACATTGGATCATTCATAGATCCTCACTGAACTTCTGGACTGAGTTTGCTGCTCTGAAAGTAAAGGGGCCCAATAATACTGCACGCCCCACTTTTCAGTTTTTATTTGTTAAAAAAGTTTGACACATCCAATAAATTTCATTCCACTTCACGATTGTGTCCCACTTGTTGTTGATTCTTCACAAAAAATTAAAATTTTATATCTTTATGTTTGAAGCCTGAAATGTGGCAAAAGGTTGAAAAGTTCAAGGGGCTGAATACTTTCTCAAAGCACTGTACTTAGTTAAGTGTGGGCTTAAATTATGAAGCTTCTACTTTGTGCTGTGTGGACATGCAACTGTAGGACTGATTTACATTAAAAATAGTCATAAATATTATTAAAAATAGAAAAAAAAATTAAAACGGCTCTTGTCCATGTGTGAAAAGTGTGTAACACATGCTTTGTGAAATTGTTTGGCTGCAGCCGTGCATTCAGAAAGTGAAGTACTCTCTGTACACATCAGGCTGAGCATGAGCTGCACTGTGATGTTCTACAACCTACTTGTCTGGTTTACGTTCTTCACTCTGTGCCCGCCTCTGTGCAAGGGCTCCACTGGCCCTTCTTCTCCGTTGCTCCTCTCTTTTCTGCTGGATGCGGGCGTCCAGCTTGGAGATTGTTCCAATCCCCAGTATGGAGTCCTTGACCCCCTTGTGTTTCCAGACCAAGAAGGAGAAAAACAGTAAGATGCTTGGTCCAAGCTTGGCGACGGGCGATACCCATTTTAATTACGCTCAAGTCTGTGTATGCCGGGCCATGTGTGTCTCTTACATAAATATCTCGTGAACCACTGAACAAAATTAAATGAAACTAACAGAAAGTAATCAATGGATATCCATCTACAGTGAGGAAAATCAGTATTTGAACATCCTGCGACTTTGCAAGTTCTCCCACTTAGAAATCATGGAGGGGTTTGAAATTTTCATCTTAGGTGCATGTTCACTGTGAGAGACATAATCTAAAATATATATATATATTTTTTAAATCCAGAAATCACAATGTATGATTTTTTTATAATTTGTGTGTTACTGCTGTAAATAAGAAATCACAATGTATGATCTTTTAATAATTTGTGATTTATTGCTGTAAATAAGTTTTTGAACACCTGCCAATCAGCAACAATTCTGGTCCTCAAAGACCTGTTAGTCCACCTCTAAAAAGTCCACCTCCACTTATTATTCTAAATCAGAAGCACCTGTTTGAGGTGGTTAGCTGCATGAAGACACCTGTACACCCCACACAATCAGTGAGACTCCAACTACTAACATGGCTAAGACCAAAGAGCTGTCCAAAGACACCAGAGACAACATTGTAGACCTCCACAAGGCTGGAAAGAGCTACGAGGCAACTACCAAGCAGCTTGGTAAAAAAAGATCAACTGTTGGAGCAACTATTAGAAAATGGAAGAAGCTAAACATGACTGTCAATCTCCCTCAGACTGGGGCTCCATGCAAGATCTCACCTGGTGGCGTATCAATGATCCTAAGAAAGGTGAGGAATCAGCCCAGAACTACACGGAAGAGCTGGTCCATGACCTGAAGAGAGCTGGCACCACTGTTTCCATGGTTACTGTGGGTAATACACTAAGACGTCATAGTTTAAATCATGCATGGCACAGAAGGTTCCCCTGCTTAAATCAGCACACGTCCAGGCCCATCTGAAGTTTGACCAGGACCATTTGGATGACCCAGAGGAGTCATGGGAGAAAGTTCTGTGGTCACATGAGACCAGAATAGAACTTTATGGTCTTAATTCCACTCACCGTGTTTGGAGGACGAAGAATGATGAATACCATCTCAAAAACACCATCCCTGCTGTGAAGCATGGGGGTGGAAGCATCATGCTTTGGGGTGTTCTTCTGCACAAGGGACAGGACGACTGCACTGTATCAAGGAGAGGATGACCGGGGCCATGTAGTGAGAGATTCTGGGGAACAACCTCCTTCCCTCAGAGCATTGAAGATGGGTCGAGGCTGGTTCTTCAAACATGACAATGACCTGAAGCTCACAGCCAGGAGAACCAAGGAGTGGCTCCGTAAGAACATATCAAGGTTCTGGAGTGGCCCAGCCAGTCTCCAGACCTGAACCCTATAGAAAATATTTGGAGGGAGCTCAAACTCAGTCTTTCTCAGCGACAGCCCAGAAACCTGGTGATCTAGAGAAGATCTGTGGAGGAATGGACCAGAATCTCTGCTGCAGTGAACCTGGTGAAGAACTACAGGAAACCTTTGACCTCTGTCACTGCAAACAAAGACCACTGTACCAAATATTAACAGTGATGTTCACAGGTGTTCAAATACTTATTTGCAGCAGTAACACACAAATAAATTATAAAAAAATCATACATTGTGATTTCCAGATTTTTTTATTTAGATTACGTCTCTCACAGTGCACATGCACCTAAGATGAAAATTTCAGACCCTCCATGATTTCTAAGTGGGAGAACTTGTAAAGTTGCAGGGTGTTCAAATACTTATTTTTCTCACTGTATAACAGACTGAGTCAACCTAAGTCAAACCGGCCAACATAATTATTTATTGACTAAACTTGGTGTAGTAGTAGTCGAGATCGATTTACGGTGCATAATAGATTCAATTTCTGAAATAATCTTAGTTTAAAATTTTGACTTAAACTATTTGGAGTCAACTTTGTCTGTCTTTTAGCAAAAGAGCTCAAACCGTTGGATGAAAATGTACAAAACTTTCAGTGAACAATCAATAAATGTCCACAGGAAAATCTAGTTTTGACGGCATCTTTAACACTGTGGTATATCTTGGAACAGACATGTTCAATTGATAGAAAGGACCACTCTATTCCGTTTTCTTCTCAAAAACCTAAATTAAGTTTGGACACTCTTAAAAAAAGTTAAGTCTGGTCCTCTGGACATTCAAAAAACAAAACAAACAAAAAAAGTAGAAACGTTTCGTCTTTCAACCGAAAGACTTCTTGTGGGTGGGTTTGTGGTACACCTCAGTTTGCAAATGTCCTCTATCAGAAACTGAGACTTCACAGTCCAAGAAGGCCAGCCGGCCATTTCATATATATTTGTTTTACATCTTGTCGTGTGAACTTGATATATTTATCCACAGAGTTGATGTGATCAGTAAAATGTTGGACTTGAGGTGTACCGCAAACCCACCCACACAGACCAGTATTTGCAGTTTGACTCCCATCACCCTTTGGAGCACAAGTTAGGAGTCATCAGGACTCTGTACCACAGAGCAGACAGCGTCCCCACTAGCTCAGGAGCCAGGCAGAAGGAGAAATCCTACACAAGACAGGCTCTAGAGCAATGTGGATATCCTAACTGGGCCTTCCTGAAAGAAGAAACCCAAACAGGACTCCAGTCAGCCATCAGGTGAAAAGGAGGAACCCAGACCCAGACCAGTGGTCATTCCATATGTTGAGGGGGTATCAGAGAAACTGAGATGTTTATTTTCTAAACATAACGTCCCAGTGGCTTTTAAACCCCAAAATACATTAAAGACCGGTTCATCCCAAAGATCCAGTCCCCCGGCACAAACAGAGTAATGTTGTGTATGTTGTTCAGTGTCAGGAGGGTGATCAGTCTTACATCAGGGAAACTAAACAGCCACTGGCCAAAAGGATGGCCCAGCACAGAAGATCAACATCATCAGGCCAGGACTCTGAGGTCTACACTCATCTCCAGGTCAGAGGTCACTCTTTCAGGGATGAAGATGTTCACATCCTGGACAGAGAGGAACGATGGTTTGAGAGAGGAGTAAAGGAGGCCATCTTTGTGAAAAGAAATCGTCCATCGTTAAACAGGGGTGGAGCCTCCAGGTTCAACTGTCCCCCTCTTACAATGCTGTGATTGCTAGTATCACTCAGCCCTCTGTGAACAGTAAACAGACATCAGGCGCTAATGATCCATTGTTAGGCTGATGGTCCTTCTTGAGCATGTGAGCAGCTGGTTCTGGTTGTCAGCAGCAAACTGGTTGATCCACTCTGAGAAGGTGCTATTTAAGAGACTGAGCTGAATACAGCTCCTCAGACTGAGGAAGTCTCTTGGATGAGAGACGAAACGTTTCTACATTTTTTGTTTGTTTTGTTTTTTGAATGTGCAGAGGACCAGACTTAAATTTTTTAGATTTTTCTACCTGGATTATTGAGCAGCATCAGGAAGCTTGGACACGGTTATTATTTATGAAAATCCGCTCAAAGACCAAAGATTTGACGAGGAAGTCTAAAACATCCCATTTCTAACCTGCTAACAAACTTACAAATGCTGCTTCAGTTCAGAACGGAGCTGAATGGATCCACTGTGGTGTACTAGTCTCACTGTTTGTACAGAGTCCACAGAGCTGTGCGTCATGTCGGGACATACGAGTGAGTGCAGGTTTTCTGCTGACCGTTGCAACATGCTGGAGGAAGGTCCTGACGCTGTCTGTCATCTCTGGGCCAGCTGTAGATCCATCAACTGCAGAAGGAAGGGGGGCTGATGACCTGGTGGTCTGCTCTCATGGTAGGGAGGGGTTCACACAGTAACCTGCCACAGTTTGAAAGTATTAAATACAAACATTTAAACATAACTTCATAATAAAAACAGACCATCCATCCATCATCTTCCGCTTATTTCGAAGTCGTTCCTGGGTCTCCCCCGGTGTCCCCTCCCAATCGAACATGCCTGAAGCAGCTCCCAAGGGAGGCACCAAAGAAGAATCCTTGTCAAATGCCCGAACCACCTCAACTTGCTCCTCTAATGTGGAGGAGAAGCAGTTCTACTCTGAGTCTCTCCTGATAACTGAACTTCTGACTCTATCTCTAAGGGAGAGTCCAGCTACCCTGCAGAGGAAACTCCATCTGTTAATCTCACGCTCCATTCTTCACTCACTCGTGAACAAAACCCCAAGATACTTGAACTCCTCCACTTGAGGCAGAACCTCACCCTCGACCTGAAGACAGCAATCCAGCCTTTTCCAACTGAGGACCATGGCCTCAGATTTGGAGGTGCTGATTCTCATCCCAGCCGCTTCACACTCGATGGCAAACCGCTCCAGTGAGAGCTGAAGATCACGGCACGATGACGCCAACAGGACCACATCATCTGCAAAGAGCAGAGATGGAAATCTGAGGCCACCGAACCGGAAACCCTCTGCCAGCTGGCTGCACCGAGAAATTCTGTCCATAAAAGTTCTGAACAGAATCTGTGACAACGGGCAGTCCTGGCGGAGTCCAACTCCCACCTTGAAGGGGTCCGACTTACTGCCGGCAATGTGAACCAAGCTCTCACACCGCTTGTATAGGGACTGAACAGCCCGTAACAACAGGCCTCCAAGCCCATACTCACGGAGCACCCCCCACAGTGTACCCCGAGGAACACGGTCGAATCCCTTCTTAGATTGGACCAGCGCTTCCAGTAACTTGTAATCTTTAAATGATTTGCGGTGACACACACCAGCTCTGCTGGGAATGTCAGTGGAGGCAAATATTACTCTGGGTCTAAAACAGTTAAATCTGGTCCTCTGGACATTAAAACAAATAAATTGACTGGAAGTCTTTAGGATGAAGGATGAAATGACCAGATTTAACAATTTTAGGTTTTTCTACCTGGATTATCGAGCATGCATCAGGATTACTCCGAGTCTCTGCTCCTTTTTTATTTTTCCAAACGAGCGACATTTCCAATTTTACCTATTTTTTCCATGTACCGTTTGTCGTCATCTGGGAGAAGTTTGTCACGATATAGTCCACTTTGTTTGAGCTGCTTTTCAGCGTAATGAAGGAGGACACAGCGGTGACGCCACAGACAAACACCGGTTTGTTTGTTTGTTTATCTGAGGGCTGTAAACATGGCGGTCCAGACGGGAACGCCCCCAACGCAGTGACGTATGTTCCAAAACTTTATATGCTTTTTTTTCCTTTAAGATTAATAAGGACAGTGTTATGCAGAGGTGTACTTATAACAATTTTATAGACAAATGATGTTATTTACAGTCGCGGCGGAGAGTTGGGGGGCACAATATGTTTACGTCTTGAAGACGTAACATAAAATAATTGCAGAGCACTGATGTAGAAACTCATTCTGACATTACAAACCATGAGCAGGCTGTAGTTCCAGTTTCTGATGCTCGAACATATCAAACTGTAGGTTTACATGATTACAGGTTACACTGAGCTCTCCTGTGGCTTGTTGTGGCTGGAAGCCATTTTGTGCAGGACCATCAGTGACATCAGTGTTAAACAACCAAGAGTAAACTTTTGTGAGTCATGGACAAGTTCACACACACTTTGCTTGTTTAAATGCGCACAAACCCTTAACATCAGAACAAAAACAACTTAAAGCAAAAAGAGAAAGAAGCAACACAACTGGCCACATACCGTAGAAAAACAAACAAAGCCCTTGGCTGGTCAAATGTTCTATTTATATTTATATATAAAAGCATCACTTTACTCATAGAGGCCTGAAAAACGACGTCATCTATCAAAGTATCACACAAGCTTTGGCGCGATATTTTTAGTGCCGATAGTGAACGCGTTAGCAGGCTAGCTCGAATTATTCATGTCTCTGAGTGAAGGAAATTCCGCTGACTTCACAAAAAGTCTTAATAATTTGAAAAGTGATGAGCTTCCTTCTGCTGACGGCTCAGCAGGACGTCTCTGCTCTCAGAATCTTTCACTTTCCGTGTTTGTTTGTTTTGTCTCGGGTGCTAGCTTGTCTGCAGCTAAGTCTGAACCGCTCAGCAACTGCACGTAACTGAAGAGTTTTCTGTCGAAATGGAGCCTGGGCAGGAGAAACGGAGGCAAAGACAGAATTTACGGCGAGCCACGGTGCTTTTCTTACCTCATGCGATACGTTCGGGGTTACAACCTTATTTTTTAATACCTTTATGCCTCTTTAATGTGACCACAACAAACACTGATCCAGCCAGGGCCGACGAAAACAGATTGCGCAAACTCGAACTTCTAAGGATCATGGGAAATGTAGTATTCACTTACTCACTTTGACGCGGAACTTTTACTGAGTTTAAACCATACCAATTTATTTCTAAAGCACTTAAAATACAACAAGCAGCCATCCGAAGTGCTGTACAAAATTAAAAACAAACAAAAAACAGTAAAA